TATTGCTAAGTTGTTCATCATTACAGTGAACCCCATGTTAAAGTACCTCTGAATATACTTTATGAAAATCACAAAATTTAAAAAAAGATAACTATTTCTTTCATAATTTGCTTGGCAAAGGATTTCAGATTAATTGATGGTACTGAAAGTACACTGTAAGCACTACAGGTTGGGTATGTACAATGTTCAGTAAAGAGTACAGAAATGTGTTGTGTGACAAGGAGATTGGCTTTGCCCTTTCTTTTCTATGACTTCTTTATAGATTTTCTGGGCCCCATTTTTGTAAGACTTAAAGTATGTTGGTATCTATCCAATCTTCTGTTCAGCAAACATGTTCAGATATCACATAGGTGCTGTCAGCTGTTAACTGTAATTACATTTTGCTCCATCTATCATGTTCCTAAAAATTATTTCGAACCTTTAAACTGTTTTATGAATATTGTCTGAAGTCTCAATCAGGTACTAATATTTACCAAAACACCTGAACAATCACATAAACCATGTTATATATTAGCTTGTCAACATTTTCGAAAATAGAAGGCATTAGGCCAGGAGAAAATGCTAAAAGTGTTCAATGAAATTAGTTTTAGTAAGAACTTACAACTACATTACAAATATTTCTAACATTTCTTGATTGCCCAATTTGCTTAGCAAGATTCTGGACCTTTAAAGCATATAACAACTGTATATTGTGGTTTCAAATCCAAGATTAGACCTGAATATGTTACTACATTTGTCAGCATCACACCTATGTGCTTGGGTTTCACTAAAGTGGTAAATGTCGAATACCTATATCAGGTTTTCTGAATTACAATATGACGTTAGTAATGTAACCTTGTTGTAAGGGGTTTCTTTTAGCTAGCGAGATTTCGTGTCATCATACTCCGAAGGTTTGGGATGTTGTTCATTAAACTAATCACAGTATTTTCTGGTCCATGCTTAAAGTACCTGGGCAGTGGGGTAGCCTAGTGGTTAAAGGATTTGCTCGTCATGCCGAAGACCCTGGTTTGATTTCCCACATAGGTAGCCCATTTCTGATGTCCCTCACTGTGATATTGCTGGAATAGTGCAAAAAGTGTCATAAAACGAAACTCACTGACTTAAGTACATGCAGGCCATCAGCAGTTTTTCACAGGGACAGGTGCTATATGACAACCAACCAAATCCTCAATCAAACTGCACAATATTTCCGCATCAACTAAGATGCAAGAGTTTGTTTGTGTCTATGTTTGTTATATTATTTAGTTTTGTTTGTTGTTTAATGCCCAACTCAACAATACTGTTATAATCCAGGGATAGAAATACATTTTTTTCTAAGTGTGTCTTTGGGCACCAGGGAATATTTTAACTGTGCCTTTCAGAAATCAAGTGTGCCCACATGTTTTTAGAATAAATGACTGTAGCAATGATGATGATCATTTGAAATTTATTGTTAGTAAACAACAAATGTAACCTGTTTTCTGTTATCACTGATATGTCTTCTGTTTAAGATGGCTTTTTTAAGCTTCATTTGTTCTGCTTTCCCAGCACCTTTGATAGCTAAGAATTTTTTTGTGTGACAGGTTATCTTGTTCAATATACCTAACATAAACAATTTCCTCTTTAATAACCGAACTATCAGTACTCCCATCAATCTAAATGGAAAAACAACCAGATTTCTTTACATCATCCATCATAATTCCAGTAATTTCCTGGGTGATAAAGTCAATAAATGTTTTTGCTTGTTTGTCATTTGCATAAGTGTTATGTTTTGGGAATTAAATGACTAAAGGTGAGTTATGTCTCTAAGAAATTAGGCATGCCATAAGGGCACCGAGAATATTTTTTATCCGTGCCATTTCAACATTTACCATGCCATGGCACCCTAATATATGGGGTATTTCGAACCCTGTAATCATAAATCATTCAATGGTTCCGCATTTATTGCTTTAACCTTAGAACTATTTCCCTACAACCAAATACCCATCCTTGAGGTGTTATGGGAAAGAACATATATGCTTAAGAAGCTTACCAAGGTACACATAAGCAAATTGGTCTGAAGACCCCTGGTTCTTGACCGGTCACTGGGAGGTTTCAGATTATGATAATGATGTGTTTTTCACAGAAGATCTCAGGGTCCAGTTCAGCTATTCAGATGTGTTTTGTAACATGACAGGCACCTGTATACTTGAGTAAGTTGGTGAGCCATGGCACGATGGAATGTTATCACCAATTTCATCAGTCATCACAGGTAGTTATTATGGACATGTGTTTTGTAGGATTATCCCTGAAAGGTTGGTCATTTGTAAGATTTCCACATGAGTGGAGGACGTGGTGGAGAATTTTGGAAAAGATTGGGAACTTTTTAAAGGGATGGAAACCATGCTGAATGTACTTTGTTCTGCATGGTTAATAATCTATGGTCCAGCGCCACGATTTAAGAAATTCTGGTCAGTTGATGTTTTTGTGCTTTATGGTTGTGCCACGGTGCTTAAGATGGTGGCATTGAGTCAGATGAAAACACAACACATGCTGTGGATACTCAGGTAGACTTAGTAATTGGTTAATCTATGAAAATAAATAATTTTGATAGAAACAACATTAAAGTTGAAAAGGAACCTCAGTGAGATAAGAACAGTAATTTACGCAGATACGCAGCTTATCTGTTCCTCTGACTTTCGTGATAAGTATTTTTTTATTATATTTTCTTTTGCTCATGTCATCCCTTCGAGAATAATATCTAAAATAATGGTTGAAATATGACTAGAGACATGTACGATATGATTATTGTGCGACTGAGATGCTGTTTGTAGTCAAACAATCATGTGTAAGATGGCTCCATCGCTGTGTGTCACCTAACCTCTGATCTTTGGCAGTTGACCCCTGATCTTACCTCTGACCCATTTGACTCCGCTGTTACAAACACAAGGAACAGTTCAACTTGTCAGCTTCCTGTATGCACAATCAGAATGATCTTCTGTTCTAACAAGAGAAATATTATGCTGTCATAGTGAAATTGTGACATAGACACAAAGGCTATTGTAATGTCCTTAAACAGTGAGAAAGTTTTGTATGAAAAAAAAAAGAAATTCATGTCATGTTAATTCATGCTGATGTGTAAATCTATTCCTGCTTGGGGAAGTTGAATCCAATTTACATTCTATATTTTTTCAACTTTCAATACATATATACCTCAGAAATATGAATATAATATCAGGGTATGAACTCCCAAAAATGTCAGCCAGACCACAGGGCTGGTTAGATGTAAAACTTGCCAGCCCAACCAAACCTTACCTGCCAGCAAATAATTTAGGTTTGACAAGTGATGCAGTTTATCATTCAATTGGAATTCATCATTATTTTTATCAGTGAATTAATAATGATTTATTATCCTGAAATATGATTAATATCTTCATATACATGTCTAAATTTTAACCCGACCGTCAGGCAGGAGAATTTGTGAATCTGGCAGTCCTTGTTGAAAATAACCCATCCAGGGCGGTCGGGCAGGCAGGTATTTCGAACGCTGATAATATATGGAATTATGTAAAGGGAAATTAGAAAAATTATGTTGAAAACTATTTTAGTTTGGAGTGACTGTCATTGACACAATGTTCTTTGCAAACCACAACATAACATGGCGTGACGTCATGTTGTGTGTAGGGATATGACACTTGATGGTTTGGCTGTCGTCAAGGTGATGCCAGAACCCGCTTAGTGTCATTTTGTGATGGGCAGGGTCAGTGAGTAAGTTAGCATTAGAAGCTTAACAAGTTGCAATACATTGTGAGTGGATCCTAATCTTCTGTCATGTCACATCTTGTATATTTCATCTATATCAGGTATATCATGACAAATATTTTTAAAGAAACAATGTCTTGTTTTCTTGTTATCTTTGATAGGAAGAACACAAACAATTATTGATGTGGACCAATAAAGAAATAATTTCTGAGAACTTTGAGTGAAAAAAATATTTTGTTAGGGTAAAATATGAGGCACATTAAAATACTTCCACTAGAAATGACATGTTATTAAAGATATCCATTTTAACATATTTTCAGTGTTTGCAAAATACTTGAAGTGATGATATGGAATAGTTGTTCCTTTAAGAAAATACAACCAGAAGTGTTTCAGATGTCCTTTAATAATTGCCATATTCAGGCCAGATTTATTGCAGTGTAAATATAGAAGGTTTCTATGGACTAAATCTTGATACACCTCCATTACAAGCTGAACCCTGTTCAACTCATGCTTTAACTGTGTTAACAGAAAGTCTGATCTGAATCGCTGCACTATAGAAAAGGATTGTGGCAAGTGTTACATGGTTTGGCTGCTTAAAAAGTAGTTATAGGGCACACTCAATATTGGTATAGTGTATATGACAGCTCCGTATCTGTTCTGGTTATTGTACGCTGTGTTACATGTTTGACATGGAGCAGATTTTGAAGCTTAAGGCACACCCTGTATAGAAACATGCGGGTCATTATGTGTATGCGGTCATGTTGAGAAAATTGGTAGCATTTGGGGTAAATAACAGTATGAGAGTATTGAGAGGACTGCAGTAGTTTTTTGTGAGCCATTGAGCGAGGAATGCCATACTTTGTAAAAGTTATATTTAAAGTTTGACACAGCTTTATGACATATGAGAGAGAGAGAGAGAGAGAAATAAATGAGAGAGAGAGAGAGAGAGAGAGAGAGAGAGAAATAAATGTTTTCATAATTCAGTTGGCAATTTTCTATTGTACTATCATAGATAAAGTTGCATAATTCTACACACGAAACAAAAAACATAAATTTTCATTTTAACATAGTGCTGATCTAGTTGTAGATAGACTTAGAAGTTAGATAGGTCAAAAAGTTGGTTGCGACTTTTTATGGACACAGGTCAGAATGTGGTGAGCATGGAAAGAGGACACTGTTCCCTGTGGTCCTAGCTGTGCCTGGTTTGTGAATGCATGCAAACGATAAACATGTCATCTGCTTTTGTCTGAAAACATTGACATAGGGTTCTTCTGTTTCAGGATTATGCAGTACAATATTTGACTTGGCTGTGAAGACCATTGTGTGTACTCTGTACGTTACGCGAGTCTGCATTGATGACTTGGAAGTCTATGCCTGGTAAGATGCTGTTGCCATGTTCAACCCAGCCCTATTTGTGTTCATAGGTTCACAGAGCTCACTCTTCATTTGTCAGTGCAGAGTTGCCTCCCTTAGTGTTGAAACAGCATCTTCGTTTTAAGTTCCAATTTATAATTGATTATGTTTCTAGTTTGTCTGCCCCATCTGGACTTCTGGGTTCATTTCAGCGGTAGACATTTACAGCTTCCATAACTTGAACAGTAAACTTCTACTTCAAGAACCCATCTGTATTCTTGCTACATGCTCCCAATATACACATTCCTGCTACCTTGTTGCTTTCATACAGATATTGTAACACTGGGTTAGTTCACAGGGGCCCATTTCACAAAGCGATCGTAGTGCTACGACTGTCGTAAGTCTATGTTAGAGTATGGGAGTTACGATCATCTTAGCGCTATGATCGCTTTGTAAAATTGGCCCAGGTCAAGACATTCATGATGACTCAACTAGAAACAGAATGATGACAACTGTCTTCGGCAAACTACCGCAAGAGAATATCCCACTTGTAGTATTTCACTAGGCATGCAGGGACAAAAATGGCGTGGTTGGCAGTGTCACAAATTTTGAGCATGATTTCAACTTGGCAGATAAGATGAATATCAAATAAACTGTCCATGAAACATTTCAGACACTATGCATTTTTAGGGGCAATTTTCACAATTTAAACATTGTTTTTGACAAGCCTTGGCCATGTTCATATTTTCGGTCAATGCACTCAGTGACCTCCGAATAGAATTCAGAAGCCAAACTGGACATCTTGTCTGCCAAGTTGTCTTATGTGCACCTATGGTCAGACGGTAGTATTTCACAGGGCAAACGTAAAAAAGACATGAAGACAAATTTAAAGCTGTAACATCAGCTTTTGCTCAGTCATGATAAGGAGTTACTGCATTGTTAAAAAGCAAATTCATCATTTCAGTTTGACAGTAGCATAAAAAACAATGTTCTACCTGTACTGGAGATGAAATGAATGGGGACACATCTTTTGTTGTGGTTCAGTAAAGAAACATGACCTTGACCTTTCTCTCAGGTGCTTTGTACATAGTACTGGTTTAGTTGATTTCTCATCTTCATCTGTGGTAATTACTTGAATTTTATTCTTGCTTCAGATTCATATCAAATTAATTTTTGTCAAGGTTTTCAAATGACTAACTGGAAATCATTTCAATAGAGGCATAAATGCGATTTATAGTCAGTGTAATATCCTATGAATACACTTATTCACCTTGTACTTGTTCATGTCAAGCTGGGGCAGTGGGGTAGCCTAGTGGTTAAAGCGTCCGCTCGTCACGCTGAAGACCCGGGTTCGAATCCCCACATGGGTACAATGTGTGAAGCCCATTTCTGGTGTCCCCCGCCGTGATGTTGCTGGAATATTGCTAAAAGCGGCGTAAAACTAAACTCAGTCAGTCATGTCAAGCTTAACTGTTACAACTTGGTGGAGGCTGCCACATGTCAATTGTAATATAATTTAGATTTAATTTTGGACAAATATGCATATGTACTATAAAACCCTTTTAATCTGAAGTTTGTTTCGAGTATATTCACATATTTATGTAAAAATTATTCTCCCAAATTTTTGAGAATATTATGTTAACATATGTTTGTGAAAATTATACTCCCATATTTTTGTAAATAATATATTTACTTATTTGTTATGAATATGTACACTTGAGTAAAAGAGCCCATTGTTTCACTGTTTTATTTTTCATTTCTGTTTTAATACACTAGGCCCATTTTGTGCAATGCAGCATTGTATATATCTGCATATATATATGCACAACAGGTTATGTTCATTATGAATGTGCATATTTATGCATACAAAATTTATGTCGCATATTTTCTTAAAAATAAAGTATCGTATAGACCCACAGGGGCTTGTTATGCAAAAAAACCCCTGGCATCAAGGTATATATTTTCACTGACAGGGTCTATAATTAGCACTGTTTATAAGGTGCTTAGACCAAGTCAGTGTCAACATATACCTTGATGCCATATTTTTACGTTATGAGCCCCTGTGTGAGAATAGGGAAACAGTGCGGAAGTGTGTCATCTTTGCTAGCTGCTATTGTTCGTGCAGACAATAAAATATCTTTAACTTAACTCATAAAAATTAATTCTAAGCCACATTTAAATTCCAGTCAGTATACTTAAAGCTTGTATGACTGAAGGATGGCCATTGTATTTCGGAGAAATGCTAGAATTATTAGAAACTTTTGTAAGGCACAATTATAAATGTCTACTAACAGAGGTGACAAGACCCTTGCCATTATCCCATTATTAAACTGACAAATGACTTCAATGAATTGACTTTTATTATTGCACTAAGACATATGACTAAGATGCGATAAAAAAACCCAGCATGTCTCTAAGTTTCAACCATGAGGACAAGGGAAACCTTTAAATGCCTCAGTTGTAAGCTATTTTCAAATGAATTGGTTTGCACTGAAGCAGATCGAAAAAACTATTTTATACAACTGTTTCATTCAGGAAGTCATTTTTCAGAATCTTGTAACTCTTTAATTTGTTTACATGCACTAGTGCACCAGTGCACCCGATAGTAGTTGTGCAAATACTATATGCTGTGTTTCAAGTTAAGAGTTCATGATGGAAAATTGTGTCCCTCAAGTTCCTGTTTCGTAATCACTGACATATTGAACAAGGAAATTTCCAACACGATTTTAGGTCAATTTGTGTAAAGGTCATAATGTTGTATTTTCACACATTTTCACGATAATACAAGCTTGTATGTAAAACATAACTAATCATATGTTGCTAACAGTGGGGTTAAACAAACAAACATTCTCATGATATAGTGAAAATTGGACAATCGACTCTGCTTTTAAGTGATTTCCTACAGATGTGGAAAGGGTTTTGTCTCTTCCGTTGACGCTCTGTATCCACTAAGGATTTGAACTTAGTCATGACCAGCAGTAAATGCTTTATTTACCAAGTTAACTCACTACCTGTCATATTCATTTAAAGATCTGACAATTATTTAAATCAATACTTGTTTAAAGCTATATTTAAGATAATCTGACCTTGTAAGGCAAACAAAGTGGCCTTCAACATGCATAATATTATTGAGTGAATAACATTTGTATTCAAAATCTGTAATTTCTGAAATCACAAATTGAAAAAAGAACTTTTTCAAAATGGCATCATGTATTTTAATTCATAGTTTGTTAATGTAATTACCTGTACGTTCTGTTCTTACAGTACCTGTGAAGGTCCAGGTCAGAATATTGATCTTCAGTAACCCATGCTTGTCGTAAGAGGCGACTAACGGGATCGGGCGTTCAGGCTCGCTGGCTTGGTTGACACATGTCATCAATTCCCAATTGTGCAGATCGATGCTCATGCTGTTGATCACTGGATTATCTGGCCCAAGCTCGATTATGTACAGACCACCGCCATATAGCTGGAATATTGTTGAGTGTGGTGTAAAATTAAACTCACTCACTCAATGTTCTTAGAGGTGATCCGTTGTAGAGAAACGTGGAAATACAACAAAAAATATAAAATGTCAGGAACAGTTGCAGAAGTATGTGTTCTCACTCACCCACTCACTCACTCACTCACTCACTCACTCACTCACTCACTCACTCACTCACTCACTCACTCACTCACTCACTCACTCACTCACTCACTCACTCACTCACTCACTCACTCACTCACTCACTCACTCACTCACTCACTCACTCACTCACTCACTCACTCACTCACTCACTCACTCACTCACTCACTCACTCACTCACTCACTCACTCACTCACTCACTCACTCACTCACTCACTCACTCACTCACTCACTCACTCACTCACTCACTCACCAACCATAGTGATCAAATGTTTTGAATATACTAGAAGTTCCAGTTAGCTACAGAACTTTATATTTCTACTTGTTGTCACATGCCATCTAGGACGGGTCTATTACTGTACAAGATGACAATACAAGGATATAATAATTTCCTTTTTTTTTCAGTCATGGATCTGCATGTAATGAAAACTCCACAGAAGTCGTTGTCCCTGACCACATCAACTGGTGAGTATCAGGGGAACCTGGGAAACAAAGCTTGGGCCAACTGGCATTCTTTACAGGAGCCTACTAAAACCTTCACTATCTCCATGTTCTGCTCCAGATAACAAGTATCCTTGTGTTGAATGAAAGAAAGGCATCACTACATTTCCTATTAATTTCAGGAAGTCTCTAAGATAACATGTTAAAGTGATATGTACTGCTGAACTTTATACAACCGTAACGTCTCGTTGACGTACTAGTACACGTAAATGGAGGAGATAGGTTAGTCTAGTTTGGGGAAGACTCTGTCAACATGCAGTGTTGATAACACAGTTTCATAGCAAATATGCAGAGAGACTGGCCAAATATGTTCTGTACACATTAATCCCCCCTTCCACTTCTGGCAAATTCCCAACTTCAAAATTCATGCAAATGAAATTATGCAACCCTAATGCCCCTTTCAGGTTGTCATATCTTTCAGTCAAATCACCCCACTTTCGATCACACACTAAATGACCAGGGTGTGTGAAATGCGAATTATGTTGGAAAGCGCATGTTAAATCTCCCAATCATCATCATCATTATCTGTCAACATGGCCCCCGTGAAGATCCAGGTTAGACTTGGTCTTCAGTAACCCATGCTTGTCGTAAGAAACAAATTTAGGGGTTGGGTGGCTTGCTGACTTGGTTGACACACCTCATCGTATCCCAATTGCGTAGATCGATGTGCCTGCTGTTGATCATGGGATTGTTTGGTCCAGACTGGATTATGTACAGACCACCGCCATATAGCTGGAATATTGCTGAGTGCGGTATTAAACAACATCCAACCAACTGATCTATCAGCATGCAGAGTTGATAACACACACAGTTTCATAGCAAATATGCCGTGAGTGAATGAGTTTAGTTTTACGCTGCACTCAGCTAAAAGCGGCGTAAAACTAAACTCAGTCAGTCAGTCAGTCTTCCCCTGGGCAATACAGGGCCGATCTTCATGCTTGTTATGTACATATAAAGGAGGAACTGTTTTAACGAACAATGGTATGTATTTTTTATCAAGCAAGTGACGGAAACTGTCAGCCAACAGGACGAATTTCATGTCCTGCAAAATCTGCCACAATACTTGTCTCAGTAAAGGCAATTAAAGACACTATATACAGTTGTTGAGGCCAGTTTGCTTTATTAGTTTCTTCAATGGGTTGAACATTTTTCATGGTCTAACTGGCCATGAGCATTGACCAAAACAGTATTGACTGGAAGTCAAATGAAAGGATTAACTCAGAAGTCAAATTAGAACTTCATTAACAAGTAAGATTTTAATTTAGCATTTTTTTAAGGAATACTATAATTCAAGAGTAGAATAACCTATAGATAAAAAAGACAAATTTACACTATCCTTCATTTGAAAAGTGAAATAAACTTTGAATTGAATTGTTTTATTGTTTTCAAACAAACTTTGTTAAAGGAGACACAACTTTACAAGAAATTTTGTTTTCTACAGTGTAAATGCATACGGGGCGGTGGGGTAGCCTAGTGGTTAAAGCGTTGGCTCGTCACGCCGAAGACCCGGGTTCGAATCCCCACATGGGTACAATGTGTGAAGCCCATTTCTGGTGTCCTCCGCCGTGATGTTGCTGGAATATTGCTTAAAGCGGCGTAAAACCAAACTCAGTCAGTCAGTCAGTAAATGCATACAACAACACAGTTACCTTTCTCAACCCCATCCCTTAACGCAAATGTAACGTAATATTACTGTTGTAAGCCAACATATGAAATGGGAGTTACTGTTATCCTTGTGCTATGATAGATTTGTTGAAGGGGCCCAGGGCAGTCTGTAACATGGCAGAGAGTCCAGGGTCATCTTCTGTCAAAACCATTGTCATCTTTCAACGTGAGACTAATTGTTGAAGGGAATTCTTATCATGCCCATTTAGACTGTGTATAAATAATTTTAAAATAATTTCACAGTGTCAAGGTTGACAAAGTGTAACAGGTGCCTGTATGGGATGTAATCTGCCCTACCTCTTCCTGAAATCTGTTGAAGCAAAACTTTATTAAAACAGTAAGCATAGTAACCTCATAAAGAGATTTCATGCATGATGTAGGTTTATAAAAGCCTATCTATTTTTGATGTATTATTGCTCTATGGTACCAGTAATCTGTTGTTACTAGTTTTTACTGGATTATACTGGTATTTTTTCAGGTACCATGCCTGTTATTAATGAGTGAAAATATATAAATATATACAAAATTGACTTAAGATATCTCCTAATTCGTTTTGTTACTTATTTGACCAGTTTGTTTCCATCTATTTTGATCACTTAATACACATTTCATTCTAAATTCTGTAAATTTAGGCAGGCAGGCGTAAACGCTCTTTTATGATTTGTTGAGCAGGATTGTAATTTAGTTGTATCGATATGAGACGCTGAATAATATAAAGTGTGACAATGACTGTGTATCAAGGATCGCTGTTCAGTAAGTCAGATGTTAATTTCAGCTCGCCTGCCATATATCGCAGTGTATGAGGCATGTTTTTCATACCTGAAATAAGGGGGCTGAGAAAAGGGGACACCTTATATGCAGGCTGGAAGATCTCACACTTTTTTCTGACTGGCTGGCATTGTCAACCTGTGTCCGATAGCCAGTGATGTTGTTCGACAGTAAAACTTCACATTTCAATCGAGTAAGTGAGTTTAGTTTTACGCCGCACTCAGCAATATTCCAGATATATGGCAGCTGTCCGTAAATAATCGAGTCTGGACCAGACAATCAAGTGATCAACAGCATGAGCATCGATCTACGCAATTGGAATATGACACGTGTCAACCAGGTCAGAGAGCCTAACCACCTAATCCTGTTAGTCGCCTCTTGGGGGCTTTTGGGTAGCCTAATTGTTAAAGCGTTGGCTCATCACGGCGAAGACCTGGGTTCGAATCCCCACATGGGTACAATGTGTGAAGCCCATTTCTGGTGTCCCCTGCCGTGATGTTGCTGGAATAATGCTAAAATCGGCGTAAAACCAAACTCAGTCAGTAGTCGCCTCTTATGAAGCACATGGGTTGCTGAAGATCAATTCTAATCCGGATCTTCACGGGTTATATTTCATTTGAAATAACTATTCCAAGAACTACACAAAATGGCGCCATGTGATGGAGTTCTACGCGACCAAACATCGTTCAAGAAGATATTGAGACATTTATATTTATTCCAACTTTACGAATCATGTATGCTCTGCTGGTGCTCAGGGTCATGGTATAGACAGGGTATGGACATAAGCATTGATTTTGAAGGCGTGTAGAGGCAGGGTCATCTTATATGTGTGGTCGCAATACTATATACTGTATATTTTTCAGGATATTTTATCTGGAAGTCATCCCTTAAAAATGTTGTAGACTTGCACAAATCTCTAAGGAAATAATTATTACTTTAAATCATAACATATCGATTATGTAAATAAAAAGAACAAGTGGTCCCTACAAGAGACTTTCGTCCTTAGACTGTCCACTTATCTAGACTTGCCTGTCATAAGGACACATTTACTGTACATCATAGTTCAGTAAAGACGTTGAGAAGGGCTACATGAGTTGGTGAATGTTTGGAAGTAGTGTCAAGTTTCATGTCAGATGCTTAACCAGCTCAACAGGTGTGACTTGCTAAAATCCTGGTGAGAATGAGATAATATACTTGTTTTAAGTACTTGACCTGTGATTCAATAGCAAACCAAATACTAAACATCCATCATTTCTCTAAAGTTGGGATGCAAATCGGAGACCTGGACCATCTTGAGTGTCATGGCCGCCCCCTGGTCCTAATCTTCAGCAGTTCTGGTTTCATCCAGATGATTGTTTTGAATGAGATCGTGTCTACGGGTGTTTCCCTTTGGTAGAGATTACAACCATAGCTCCTGTTGTCCATGACATTCGCCATTCATTGTTCGGAAAAATACTGCCTGGTGTTATGATCAAACAGGGAATGGAATCACGTACAAATGGATTGAATTTCGATATGATAAAGATAATCGTGTAGATGTTGAGAGGGCTGTCTGTTATGTGATGTATCATTTTCATGAACACATGCAGCACTTATGGTGATAATTAAAATTAACTCCATTGTCCGTTGTATCTGCGTATTATGTAGTGCCATGAGTATTTGCTTGGTGAATGAAATTCAGTACCGATACATTATAAATCCGATACATTATCATCATCATCAATCATGATCATGATCATGATGATGATCATCATCATCATCATCATCATCATCATCATCATCATCATCATAGGTTTTATGCCGTTTTGAGGAATATTCCAGCAATCTCACAGCGGGGGACACCAGAAATTAGCTGCACACATTGTACCCTAGTGGGAATCGAACCTGGGTCTTTGGCGTGACGAGCAAATGCATTAACCACTAGGCTACCCACTGCCCTGGTGATTTTCAAACATATTTCCACGCCCCTAAAATTTATTGTAAAACTATTTATATATTTTCAAAGACATTTTCTGAAAAAAAAGCACAAAAACAAGGGTTAGCAAAGATGGCATAATTGATGGAGCAACAACATGCCTTATAAGGAAGCTTTTTGACCTTTCACTTTATTGTCTTTTGTCATCCCTCGTAGTCTACAGTGTAAATGTTTGGATTTCAGAGTAATAATTTGCTGACTGGAGTTGCCATTTATGGAGATCTTGATGCATCCGTTGTAATTTTTAATTCAAGACAAACCCACAATTGTGATGTCACAACTCACAACAGGATGTTTATTAGGGCATTTGAGCATAAAAAAACAATAGACACAACTTGGGAAAAAAAGTTCTTTTGAGAAATAGCAAGTTTCACGGACATCATAGCAATAGATCGTAAAGTACACAAGAGAAAACTAACCAGTAAATGGTTCATACTGACTCACAAATGATGGATTACAATTTAATTTTTTATTGATAACATTAAAATCTCGATTCATAAGTCCAGACATAATATTATCCTCAGATTGATGTAAAATCTTCAGGAGTCAGTTCCTA